AGAGGGAGAGAGGGAAGGAGAGGGAGAGGGAGGGAGGGAGGGAGAGAGGGAGAGAGAGGGAGGGAGAGGGAGGGAGAGAGAGGGAGGGAGAGGGAGAGAGACGGAGAGGGAGGGAGACAGAGGGAGAGAGAGACCTCTCTTCCACCAGAGGTGGGTGTCCACACAGAGCGGACAACGCTCTCAGGTGGGAAGAAATGCAAGCGGCAGGAAGGGCCGACTGCGGCACCCACCTCACCCTTGGCTCTGCTCTCAATGCAGAGGGCTCCTGCGGGAAGCCGGTGCCTCTCCCAGCCCAGAACCAGCAGCCTGGCCGCGGGAGCCTGGCCGAGCAGGAGCGGCCTGCAGAGCTGGAGCGCTGGACTCCGCCTCGCTCCCTGCATAAGCGAGTCTCACCGGCCCAGGGGATGGCTGTCCTCCCTAGGCCCTCGCTCAGGACACCCAGGACAAGACATGTGTCTGCTGTGTCTTCCACAGCGGAGTCACCCAGGCAGCTGCAAACACCTGTCCTGTCCGGGATGAAGTGGCCCGGGGCTGGCGGAAAGGAGGCGGACACCGGCCTCAGGCCAGAGCTCTCGCCTGGCCATGGAGTCCCCTCAGAATTGGGGATAGAAGGAACGACCTCTCAGGACCGAAGTGAGGACTAGCAAGACCAGGTGCGTGCGGAAGCCCACTGGAAAGTGCGGGCATGTGCGTGTCCCCTGTGACCACTCTGTCCTCGCCAGCAAGCGTGTTCCCTGTGACCACTCCGTCCTCACCAGCAAGTGTGTCCTCCTGTGACCACTCCGTCCTCGCTGGCATGTTCCCTGTAACCACTTGCGTCCCCGACGGCGAGCAGGGAGGCTGAGAGTCTGCCTGGCGGGGACCCAGGATGGACGTGCTAATGAAGGCCGCAGCGTCCTCTCAACCTCACTCTCGGGGACAGAGACAGTTCGGGACACTCGGCCGGTCTCGCCCTCGTCCTTGGCACGGCGACCGTGGCCGCCGAGGCTGTCAGCAGACGGCCCTAACGGACCGTCCTCACTCAGGTACGTCTGCCCTCCGCTTCTGTATTTCCTGGTGCGTCCTTTTCACGACACACTTACCACCCGGCAGGTTTTTAGGCTTGCTCGTTCTTTCTTTTTTATTTGCCGGAGGGCATGGGCACTCACGGGAGAGACAGGGTGGGGCAGTGAGAAAGGCCCTCCCGTGGGGGACAGGGAGGCTGCGGTCCCTCCTCTCCGTTTTCCTACGGGGCTGTGGCCACGCATGCACACCCGCTCGGTGTGATTCTCAAGCCGCCAGGTCCAGGCCCAAACGGCACAGTTGGCCGTGTGGGGTCCGGCTGCCTTGCCCTGGTCCTGTTTTTCGGGCTTTGTTTTCCTCTTTGGCTGTCCACTTTCAGAAGTGACAGAAAGGTGCCAGGCAGAGCTCCCACCGAGGACGGCTCCCACGGCGTCGTGGCTCTGTCCCTGGTGGCAGCGGCAGGGCGAGGGCAGCCAGGCGAGGGCAGACAGTGCCAGGCAGAGCTCCCACCGAGGACGGCTCCCACGGCGTCGTGGCTCTGTCCCTGGTGGCAGCGGCAGGGCGAGGGCAGCCAGGCGAGGGCGGTCAGTGCCAGGCGTGGGCAGCACGGACACGTCTCAGTATCTCTCATCTCTCCGGTCCCGCCTGTGGGAGGGCACGGCCGTCCCCCGGCCACAGAATGGGAGGCGGAGCCGCGGGAAAGGTCACATGACTTGCTGAGGGGGGCAAAGCCCTGGTGACAACACTCAGCCCCACGTCCCTACTGAAGGGCAGTGGCCATCGGTGGTTTAGACCCTGGTCACCACGGTAACCAGGCACCGGGATGAGGCCCTCCTGTACGACTGACACCTAAGGAGGACCGCGCTCCCTGCAGACAGGGGCCTGAGGTGGGCTCTGTGACCTGCTGCCCTCTGACCCACGGGCTGTCCCACGGCCGGGCAAACGCACTCCTCGGTCTCTGGGCCTGAGCCACCCTGCCTCCCCGCGCATGTTCCCATGTTCAAGTCCCAGCCCCCAAGCTCCCCCAGATGGGACTGTATTTGGAAGCAGGCTCTTTAAGGGCCATTAAAGGTAACCGGCAGATGGCATGGGGTTACATCTCTGGATTCCCGTGGAGTTGACTGCAATTTGAGTTCCAGACCTGGCAGCTTGAAACACGCCGGCACATGTGTGTGCGTGCCCAAGATCCCGAGAGGGAAGGGCCTGCGGCATGGACACCCCCTCTGGGGGGTGATCTCTCTCTCTGCCTCCCTTGATCTCTCCAGTAAACGCACATGCTCGATAGCAAAAATCTCTCTTAAAAGTAAATTTAAAAATAAAAACAAGATAAAGGTGATTAAAATCAGGTTGTTGGTGTGTTGAGAAGAGGGGCTTAGGGCACGGGCACACACAGGCAGACACGCAGCACACAGAGAAGACACGCCATCGCCAGCCACGCCGACAGGGGGCCCGGGGACCAGCCTGGATGACCGTTTCCAGGAAAGCCACACGGAGCCCACCCCCCCAGTCAGGGCGCTCTTCGCCGCGTTCCCGTCCGTGCATCTCGCCCTGTACTTCGTAACCGACATTCTAACAAAGGCCTGATTGTAAGACAAGGCAGAGCTGTCCCGGAGGAGACGGGAATAGCTGCAGGCACCAGGGCAACGGGGCAGCCCTGCCCTGCCTGGTGAGGGAAGGCAGCGGGGTACAGAGACCAAGGAGCCGGAGCCGGAGTGTGGAGCGCGGCCGGCCCCCGGCCCGCGTCCCTCCCGACCTTAAAAACCTGCGGCCACTCCAACCTCCAAAGACAAGCTCGGGTGCCCTCTGACCAGCTCTGGGAGGAGGTGCGGGGTCTCCTGTACCTGTTTCAGGATTCCTGAAGGGTGTGGGTCAACGCTGGACACCTTGGCTCCCTGAAATAAGGCACCAGCTGGCACTGTGTCGTTGAGGTGCCACCACCCCTGAGTCCCCGCCTGCCAGCCCTTCTCTGACACACAGACCTCTGACTGGAGAGCAGAGCCGGCAAAGATGAAAAGACCCCTCGGGGGCCGCGGCCCCATGTGACGCTCGCCCCACACGAGATGCGGGCAAGTGAGTGGGTTGTCACGGGTGGGGAGCGCTGTCTCTGTGGATTCGCGGCGGAGTCCAGGTGCGGGTGTGGAAAGTACACGAGTTATCGCGCTTGTTTTCACTTCTGTTAACGTGGAAACAACTCATCTCCTACCCAAGCTGAATGAGGCGTTTTGAAACGATCGGTTCCCATTTCTTGGGACAGCGAAGTTCCGCTCCTTTTCAGCTTAGGGAGAGGCGTGCTTTCACGGGAGGGGAAGGCAAAGCGTTTCCACGTGGTTTGAAGTCACAGAGACCTACCCCCGGGTGGTTATGCTGAGATCAAGCCTGTGGTGCAGCCGGGAGGGAGGGAAGAGTCCGCCACCGCCTTCTGGGAGCCGTCCCCACTCCCAGGCGCACTCAGCCGCAGGCGGCCACGCAACACCAACCCGGAAACTTGTTTAGAGGACACCGGTAACTGGTGGGGAAGGGATTCCCAACATGTCTCCTCCCGTTAGAAGTCAATGTTGACTTCCTTTCGTGTACACCAAAAACCCCCGGGGGCTGCGTGTGCCGGTTTAACCATTCCCACGAACTGATCAGAGCCAAGAACGGGCCACAGAGCCGTTAAAGCCGACCTCGCCCCCACACAGCTCCAGCGGGAGGCCGGCTCACTGGAGGACGCGGCTCGGAACCAGGACGGGGAACGCCTGGGACCAGTGCCTCTCGGCTCAGGGACAGTCAGGGCAGAGCGGCCCTGCTCAGGCAGACGTGTTCCCGCACACGGATCCTTGGAAGCCCTGGCCCTCGCTGCCGTCCCGAGGGGTCCAGGAGGCCAAGTCCCCAGGCTCCTGTGCTGGCTCTCCCTCCAACAGCTGCCACTCGGTGGGGAGGGGCAGGACGAGGCGTTCGGACCAGGCTCCCTCTGCTTCTAAACACGTCCCAGTTCTACTGGGCAGGCTGCTCGCTGGGGTCGGGTTGGAGTCTGGCCAGAGGGAGGCGCCTCCTTTACCTTTCCGCACCTTTATCATAGGTAAGAAAGGGGCTGGCTGACAACGTGGTGATTGGGGCGATGGACTCCCACATGGCCAACCATGGTTCAAATCCCGGAACAGGCAGCTTGTTTTCTCTCTCTCTGTCTCTCTCTCTCTCCCTCTGTCTCACTCTCTCTCTTTCTCTCTCTCTCCCCCTCTGTCTCACTCTCTCTCCCCTTGCTCTCTCTCATCAAATTGAAGAGTAATAATAAATAAGTAAGTGAAGTTAAATAAATTTTTTAGAGAGGTTTTAGCTATAGGGCATGTGCGCTCGCCAGAAAGACAGAGAGAGACAGAGAGGCAGAAAGCAAGAAATCACCCCCCAGGGGGTGGCCACACCACAATCACTGCTCCTCCACTCTCCTCTCGGGATCTTGAGCACGCACGCACACGCGCCTGGTATGAGTTGAAACCACCTACATGGGAGTGCAGCAACATAGCCATTACACTAACTGCTGGTCCCAAATATAGGATCCCTGCAGCCTGTGGGAACTGGAGTCCAGGCCTTCCGAAAGAAAGTCAGCCATCCAAGGGCCCTCTCACAGGACACCTGGCAGTGCCCTCCCTAGTGTAGACACCAAGAGAACAGCTCATTCTGCTCTGAGGACCCGTGTGAGCACACTGCGCTTACACGCGGCTTGGTTTTCCTCCCAGCTCCCTCTGGTGCCTCGGTAAAGGCAGTTTGAAAAGACATGAGCCCACAGGGTTCCGAGGACTACGAGGACAGGAACCGCAAGACGGGAGTCGGTGGAGCCGTGGACGGAGGGCCGAGGACAGCAGACCCAGGAGGCTCTGCTGTGTTTAAGGCCGTGCAGCTGCAGAGTGCCCGAGATGACTTAGCTGGTACGCACACAGGGACAGAATGGGGCAGGAAACAGACCCTGGCAGGAAAGCACGCTCGATGCTGTGCACGCGTTCCACAGGTGAGGGGGTTACCTGATCCACTGGGACCTCGACCTGAGTGTCTTCGTCTTCCTGGACTTCCGCTGCCCCCCGCGTCTCTGACCTCTCCGCTCCAGCTTTGAAGACACCCTCATCTGTCATTGGAGAAGAACACAGTGAAGATCGAAATCCGATGGTGACACCGTGTGGCTGCGTGCTGGAACTACAGAGGACAGGATGGATTCCCCGGCTCCCTTTCTGTGGTCACAGCTAGAGCCCGCTGCCCCAGTTCTGCCCCTTTGTCGGGCCCAGGCCAGGCTGGACCTGGCAGAGCAGAGCCCCGGCCCAGAGGCCTCCTAGCGCGGTGGCTCCTGACCTGACTGCAACCCCGCAGGGCGCTGGCGGGCAGTGGCTGCTCCTTAGAGAGCCGCATGCCCCGGTGTGGTGGGTGGAATCGTTCTATTCAGGGTAATGCGGAAAACGCTGCCCTGCGACAGTGGAGGTGACTTTCTGCCTCCCTCATGCACGCACACCAATGTCACTCACTCCGCAGATTTGCACAGGGTCTGGCAACCTGTGATGTGAAGTCTGTAGCTATCGGACGGCCCCGGATCTCTGGACGCCGGGCTAAGCACCTTCCACGTCCTCTGCCCTGGAAAGCCCTAGGGCCACTTTCCATGTTTGAAGGAAGGCCTCCGCTCGGCCTTCTCTCACCGCGTCGGTAATCAAAGGATCCCAGGACCCTCTGCCGTTCTGTCTCCCGGCCTCGAGACGGGCCCGAGCTGTAGCCGCCCCCCCAGAGGC